GGAGTCAGTAGAAATGGGACAAATCATTTTTAGTGAATTTTTTTTAATTTTTAAATTACAATTTCTTGACAACTACTATCAGGAATTTTGATATCATACTTCTGCAAATACAAAAGTACGTATATTTTACGTTTGTTTTAACAACAATTCAATACTGATTAATAATTAAGATACAATTCTTTTTAGTCCATTACTTTCTTTTTTTTCTTAGCTTTCCTAGAATATCCACATTATCTTTCTTCAAACCATTCGACTTTCTTTATATAATGTCAACAGATTCTGTAATTCTCGATGATTCTAGTACAAGAAATCGATATTCTTTTCTTGAATGGGTCCCACAACATTCATTAAGCGGGGATGGTCATAATGTATCAAGACCAATGTCACTACATCTCCATTCGACTTTTCGAAGAGTTTTTGTTGGTCCTACTCCGGTAAATTGGAATTATAAAAAAAAATCTTTGTGGTTCTCTAAAAGTGAAAGGGCTGTACATCGCGGTACAAGGAAAAAAAAAACTTTTAGAGCTGCCACTGATGTTATTGGTCCAACAAATATGTCTTCTCTCGATTATAATGTTCCTGATGATCAATGGTAATAATTATTTTTGAATTATTGTCTGATATTGTTATACATTTATTTGTAATCATTATTAACATATATTAAATACAGTGAAAGGCCAAATATTATATCAGATACGTCTTTCCTTGTCGAAGAACCACAAGAGTTGGAAATTATAGAATCAGATACGGAACGTTCAATAATGAACAGAGAAGTCTTTTATACCCCATCCGAAAATATAAAATCTTTTCCAGTTACACCACCTCACAAACCTCATTTGTTTAATTCAAAAAAAAAAACTCGACCTCAGTCATTACCATTGAATATGCAAAATTTACAACAAATTGTTGAATCTCCTCCTGAAGAGAATAATGTTTTGGTACCATCAACAAATTCGTCAATATCTTCTATCAACCATGATGAAATAAATGATCGAGGATTTAATGTAAATAATGATGATGAGTCCATTATTAATTCAGACTCTGAGTCTTTTGAAACTCCCGTTTGTGAATCAGGAGTTGTCCTCAAAGAGGATCGTATATTAATTAGAATCGAGCGTGTGCATCATTCAGGTGTTCCAAGGATATATAATGATTCCACTTCAAAGAAGTATCTTACTCACTCTATAGGATGGAGAGAGTATATTGTGAAATTAACATCTGATAAAGTTCAGTTTTATAAGAGTAGGGCAAGTCTCACTAAATTTTTGTGTCAAGATTTCTGTAAAAATTCCTACAATCAAATCACTTTTTAATTTTTTTAATTTTACAGGATAAACGTGTTGATAAACTTATTTTTACTTCTTCAACACGATTATGTCTTTATTCGTCGGTTGACTACACTATAGCTTTATCTGATCCATGTGACTATGGAATGAAAGTATTTATATTCCGACCAAAAACTTATGCCCTAAGTGTTGAATGGTACCGCGCTTTATATAATTTACTTAGGCCACCGTCAATTAAACCAGTGCCTCTTACTTGTGATGTAGTTGTACCTGATTTGAATGTTCGTGTACGAATTCCATTAGAAGATGGAACGCAAGCATTCAAAATCACCGCGGAGGAAATAACTAAAACTGTTTTGGATGAATTGGGCGGTATAAACGAATGGGAAGATGTATTAAATGAATGGCTGAAAAATGGTGATATGAGATTATGTTGGAAAAGATATGATCGAATAGAATGGATTGTTTGGGAAAAAAATGATAGTGAAAAAGATAGAAATGACTTATTAGCATGTCCGCAATTTATTGAAGGAGTATGTTTTTATTTTGCTTATTGAATTTTGGTTATCATTACATATTTTTACATATTTTATTCTTATCATGTACATTTTAATACGTAGACCCATCAATTACAATTACGATGCACGCAACATTATCCAACATCCGTAACGTTACCCGATGAAACTAAATTGCAGGTATATACATATATTTGTTTATTTAATATTAATTTACTTATTTTGTAAATATTAAATTCTTCCTATTTTAGGAACCACCGCCAGTTGAAGGATATCTTATTAGAGTCACAAATGATAAAGGCCGTAAAAACAAGTCAAAGCGACTGTACTTTTCGTCACATGATCACTATTTGTTCTTCATGAATCCATCCTTTGCATGCCCTCCTCCACCACCACCATCAGGGTCTGGATCGACAGAGGACGAAAAGCTCAATACAAAACGACCAATAATGTATGCTGTTTCCCCACACATTCAAGGAAATGACAATGCCGCTGCTTTCATTAAGGCTGATGTCAAAAGACGCGTTAAACAAATTTTAAACGCATATGGATTCATTAATTTAATTGATGCTATAGAAGTAAGACCCTTAATTAACGATAATAATGAGGATACATGTGAAAATGACAATTTAGGAGATAAATCTAAAGAGCGTAAATACGAAGGAAAAGGATGTCCTTTTGAACTGGTCATGTCGAATGGAATGACTATTGTTTTAGAGGTTTGTCTATTTTGAACGTGAATTCTTTGCTAATTACTGTATTTTCCATCGATTCATAATATATTTTTCTTATGGTGGCTGAAGCTGAAATCTGGACCTATTTTTATATGAAAAATTAAAAAATTTTTGGGGGCGATTTTTTACATTTTTTTTAGGGATGGTTAGGATTTAGGATCATAATTGATAATTAGAGTTTGGAACCAGTTTTATGTTTCATATGTTAAAACTGGTTAAACCGGGTTTAACATATGAAAATTCCAAACTCTATTGATAATTAAAAAGTATATGTAGATTTTAGTAGTGCATATATTTTCCCAAATTTCAGCATCAGCCAATGTCAACATCACCCCCCACATTTTCTTTAACATCATTTCATGATTTTTGTAGGCATATTCTAAAATAACCATGAAAGAGTGGGTGAAATGTCTCAATGCACTTGTCAAATACTGGAAAGCTCGAGTTGCAGATGATATAAAAATTCGAATTAGTATGTTTAAAGAAAATCAATTTAATGATTACGATGATGATGGTGCATATATTGGTGATGGTTTTCGTGGTCATTGGGATAGTTTTCGATCATATGCAAGCACAGCCATTTGGCACTGGTGCATTTTAAATGGATGTCGAGGTATTACGGTAAGTTTATTGTTATATTCTAAAATATTCTAATAATAATAATAATAATTAATAATAATTTTGTATAATATTTATTTGTAATTTAAATTATTTATAGAAATCTGGTTTATTATATCAAAAGGTTCATTTCTATGGCACCTTCATGAATTATTATCACGTCTTAACAAGAGGTTGCTTAATATTTTACCAACTTCATTCCCGATCAATAGTTGGGAGAAAAAATCGTCGAAGTTATCATAGGCGGAAAGGCATCATCAATTTATTAGATTGTTATATATATTCGGGTCATCTAACTGATCATGATTTGCCCCAGTCTAAACCTTCGTATAAATTTGGTTATTTGCCCAGGATATATAGTGATGGAATGTGTTGTTTTGATGATATCGATGAATGTACATTTGTTGTTTGGCAAGGTAACAAACGTCATGTAATTGAAAGACATGGAACTATCGGTCTTGAATTGCAAAAGAAAGCAAAGTTAGATTCTTCTGGTAAAGCCTGGATATTTCGTGCTAGAAATAGGCTTGAAAGAGAAGAATGGGTTTGGGCATTAAATATCGAGATTGAAAGATGCTTGATGGAAGAAAATGGTTTTGCTGAATAATGGTAATATAATATTATTAAGTTTATATATTAAAAAAGCTGATAATTTAAATGATGTTTTGTTTTGGGGTAGGATATACAGTATAGTGTTGGTCAATTTTATTGTCAACCCTAATTATAGTGTTACTAAGTGTTGGGAGAGTAGAATGCTTTAAGATTTATTCTGACATTACCAAATTTTAGTATAAGCGTATTTAATGTTCATAAGTGTAATTATACATAGCATAATTAACAATACGGCATATTTAGATAAATATAAGATATTTGTACATTAATAAACTTCAGTGTTATAATATTGGTTCTTTAAACATGATGTTTTCGTCTTGTGTATAAGCAAAAAAGTCATTTCGGGTTAAATTATGACTAAAAAATATTAAAAATATTGAAGTCAAAAATATGATTGCAATATACTGTAATTTATTTTAAATTAATAAAATTTCGTGATTTCTGTGATTTAATGCGATTATAAAATAAAATTTATTTAGTAATCATATTTTTCAAAACCATAAGAATTCCGTAACTTTCCGATGAGCATGCTCGTAATTAGGGATTGTTAGGTTCGGTTTTGGTTTCAAAACCTTTAGGTTCCATTTGTAAACCTAAAAACTTGGTTTTTAAAAAGTTCCGGAACCTGGTTCTAAACCTGGTTCCAGAATTGGTTCCGAAACCTGGTTTCGAAACCTGGTTCCAATACCTGGCTCTAGAACCTGAATCAGACATAAGTTTTAGTATAGTCAGACCCTCTAAATGCAATGCAACCCCCTAGTATGCACGCCCCGTGAGAGCCCCTCCTAGATATGTCTTCACTTGGGTCCAACTAATACAGTGAAAGCTCAATAAATGCGGCTCTATAAGTGCACACCCTCTTTAAAGCATCCTTAAATTCGGGTCCAAATAAATACATGACTTCTATAATGCACCTTTTTTTTATTGTTCTCTAACCTATTATGAACCTAAGAACCTATTATTTTAAAAATCTATTATGAATCTAAGAACCTAAGAACCTATCATGAACCTAAAAACCTAGAGTTGATTGATTTATTTTTACTTTCCGGGTTTTCCCGACGCCGGCCTAAATTTATTTGCGATATTTAAAATTCTGATATTTTTAGAATTCTGTGATGTTCTGCGGTGATTTCTGTGATTTAGAGAAATTCTGTGGTTATCTGTGGACAGTCCAAATGCCAACACTGCGCAGAAAGCAGATTTACGTTACACCTGATCTTGAAATCTGATTGGATTCAATAGCCAATCAGATTTTAGAAAGTCACCAGTTTCACCATCCGACTTAACGTTAAGTGTCGTATTAGCATAACAATAACACTATAACAGTCATACGACATGTCACGCAGATCACAGGGGTAAATTTTTTACTATGAAATTTGAGTGATCGACATGCATATGAT